GAAGGGGGTGGGCTGCTCTGGTATGGAGCTCTGGGACCTTGGAAAATATTCATCTCCCTTAAGCAGGGAGAGTTAAGGGGGGTAGGCTTTGTCTAACACACCCCCTCAGTCCTCTGCTTTTGTTGAGGGGTTAGACACACACGCACACATATACACACAAACATGCGCGCACACACACACACACACACATGTAAAGCTCTGACCAGCTGTCTTTAGTCTGAAAGATGGCCGTCGTCACTCATAAACACAGAGATCTCGCAGAGGATGGCGAGCAGGAGGAAAACCTGGCTCTCTCCCTTGTGCGCCTCACCACGTCTCTCAGCGTGTGAATGTTTCACTTTTCCCATGTCACCCATTCAATTTAGATCTGACATTTTAGGAGATGACTCTCAGCATACAGACAGGGGATCTGATTTCTCCATCACTGGATTTAGACGCTAAAAGCAACAGCCACAAAGCCCTTAAAATTCCTCCGACCATAATCAAGTGTTTGGAGAAGAATTATGCGATTCAATGATAAATCTACATTTTTCATTTGAATGTTTTAGTCGGTATCACCAAAATCAAAGATTTTCACTTAAAGGAATCAAAGCAGCATTTACTGTAAGTGGCTATTTTGTTTTTTACTGCGAGAAATAATTATCTTATTGAGGTTGCCTTTTTTTAAATATTCTGTAATTTAAGGACATTTCATTTAAAAAATGATTATCAGGTCTTTGCAAATAAGAATAATACGTGGCTTGTTTTATTTGGAAACAAGTTGCAGCAAGAAACTGAATAAATTATGGATTTCTGGAGCACAATTGCTCAAAGAAAAAATATTTAAAAGAGAAGATGGAATGTCCCGATCTGTTCATCATAAACAAGCCTAACGGGGGAATCTGTGAGAACAACAACACAGACGTTCGCTTTGAATAGAAGTTTAGAGAGAGCCAATCAAATGCCTGCATACAAACACGATCCCCATCATCAGGCTGTGTGCGTAGAAATCGAAGCGGACATGGTGGCTATGCTAACAAAGATAACTGAAACAGCCTCCTTTCTCTCCCTTTCTGTGTGTGTGTGTGACCGGTGTGTATTGTTCATGGACCAAGGCTATTTCAGAGGAGGGGGCCCAGTCGTCCTCGCTGCATCGGCCCTTTCATCGCTCCCTCATACATATTCATCACCACCCTGCTCTCTTCACCTATCAGTGACCAGCTAGCTGTGACTGGCATCCCGCTTCACCAATCGCACGCTTCCCTTTGTGGGAATATTCCCACCTCTCGGAGCTTTCACCCCACCCAGTACAATGGCTTCTTTTTTTACTTTGACGCAGTGGCTTAAAAAAAAAAAAAAGATAGAGATACAGGAGAGGGTGGAGGACGAGAAGGAGAGTCGCAGCTACCGTTGGCCGAGCCCCAACGACGGCGGCTGTGAATCGATCGGCAGCCTCCGAAACGGTTGCCGAGCCAGCGTTGTCAATGGCGGGCTGAAAATGCTGAAGGGGTTGGGCGGAGGAGTAGATGATGGGAGGAAGAGGGTGCAGGAGGATAGGGAGAGAAGGAGGGAGAAGTCGTGATGGTCTGAAGTATAGCATGATTAGTATGGACGAAGAGGAGAGGAAGAGGATGAGAGAGGAGAGGGAGGAGAGGGAGCAGCCGCGAAACGCTCATGCTTGCGAGTATAGTAAACAGGCGTGTCGCAGAGGAGAACGCAGTGTTCTGCAAGAAGCTAAAGGACGAGTGTGAGCTGCGAAAATGTCCCGCCATTTTTCTTTTTTACAAAAACAATGCTTAACGTTCAACACTGATGAACAATACAACTGTACATTTAAGGGGAAATCATCCCACAAACTTAATATTTACTTAAAAATAAGAACTTATTTTCTGTACTCTGGCTCATAATGTTTCGTATTTTCGAGGGTTTGAAGCTAAACGTGGGGATTCTTCCTCCTCAGACACGTAGACGATCAATGTGAGGACGGCAGATTGCATCTGTATGGACGTCCCAAAAAAAAGATGCTCCACTCAGCTTCAGCAGCAACAGAAAACACTAAGATCAATAGCATCAAAGGGCCCGTCTCACACAGCCACCGCTCAATACACAGCAAGCAAGCGCGCGTGTGTGTGTGTGTGAGAGTGTGTGTTTGGTCTGTTTGTGCATGTGCCTCTATCTGCAACACAACACAGCACCGACAAACACCTTCATATTCCTCATTACTGTAAACTCCATCGCTGTTTTTGCAACTTCGAAAACACTAAGATAACTATGTAACACACACAGACACACATACACATACACACAACTGATATAGTCCCCTAATGTCGCTTGGCAAGGGCATTTCAAGGCCCCCCTCCTCCCTCCCAACACTGACTTGCCAGTCAATCCATTTACTAAATGAATGTATTATATCTTACAGACAGGAGAGACGAGGGGGGACGAGGAGAGAAGGAGAGGAGAGACGAGGAGGGACGAGGAGAGCAGAAGAAGGACAGGAGAAACGAGGAGCGACGAGGAGAGAAGAGACAAGGAGAGCAGGGGAAGAAGGAGAGGAGAGACGAGGAGAGACGAGAAGAGATAAGGAGAACAGAGGAAGAAGGAGAGGATGAATGAGAGGAGAGACGAGGAGAGACGAGGTCTACTGTCAGTGATAGAAGGACTCAAAGGTCTGAATGTCGAGGTCAGCAAACTTTTCCCTGACTGTTAATCCTGGAGGCGTTCCTGCCCACATGTTCATTTTCTGACCACCTACATGAAAATCAAAAAACTAATATACAAAAAAAACACCCAGTGTATTTTGTCCGAGCTTACATAAGACTTCTTAATGGCTTATACAAGCAGTTTTTACCATGAAAGCCACGTTTTGTTTTGAATCGCCTGGATCTGAGTGATTTCTATTAGAATAAGAGGCTGCTGGTACATATCAGAGTCTCAGGATTAGTTTTATATACAATTATCTGACCAGTATAGTGGAGAGGTTTAGTCTGGATTATATCTATTTTAAAATTGTCAACTCACAATGTAACGTACTAAAATGAACATGCTATCATTACACAAGCCACACAAGTCGTCAATGAACGGAGTTTAGCACAACACATTGTTGCGATCTATTGTTAAGCGGCCTCTAGTGGCAGCAGTAATTATAAAGGGAGTGACAAAAGGTCCAACGATGATGGCGCTCTAACCTTAAAGATGTTGGCCAAAACGATGAGCTTTTTCTAAACCTAACCAAGTACATTTTGTGCTTTAGCGTAACAAACAACCTCAACTTTGGGTTTATTACCATTGCCATGGCAACATATGTCCACCTGCAGCCACTATGCTTGTGCGTGTCTTATCTGTGGAAGGGGGTCAAGCAACATACATGGCTGTTTAACATACATGATCTGTTATAAACTCTTGGGAAGCAAGACGAGATGACATTATGCATACGACTCAGTGATTTATGTGTATTTGTTATGCTTTAAAATCCTGTCTCCACTGACCTTCACATCACAATTACTTTGTTTATAAAACAATAACAGTGTGTGAATGTTTTAACCTTTAAAATGAAACTATTTTAAATGTTGATGTGTCTCTACACTAAAGCCACTAGGGTTTAATTTACATATTTACTAATTCATCTTTCATGGCAAATATTGTGATTAAGTGGCATTTTTATTGTGATTATGTAAAAGCATTAACCCCAAAACCAAAACTTTGTGCTATTTACATTTTCTTATGTTTATTCTTCATGGGCTCCACATATTCGAAAACGCTGAACCCCAATTGGCCGACGGCAGCAGATGCTTGAATTATGAAACTACTTTTTTAAGATTTTAACTCGTCCAGTCAATCAGGATCAAGTCTGGCTTTTGAAAATGATCTAAGTTTAAACATCTGAAACTAACACTCAAATATTAACAATGAGCTCACTAAGTGTCTCTGATCATATATGTACATGATTAGAAGGGAAATCTGAGTTCCTTTAATGCCGTGGAGAACCCCGCTGGGCCAGGGTGAGGGGCCCGGGGGGGGTGCAGAGATAAGAATGGGTTTGGGTTGGCGGATTAGAGGGGGTGGTACGGGTGGGGTGGGGGGGTGTGGGGGGGACTCTGAACAGCAGCCACTGCAGCTACTCATTGATCTTTTTGTCTTTAAGACCTTCGGCTTTTTACTAGATGTGGTCGTGATTTATGACCTGCAGGGTTACAGCGGTCCCATGTCGCTCCGCATCTGACAGTTGACCAGCGCTGACCGTTTTCCACACACACACACACACACAAACACACACACATACAAACACACACACACAAACCAGCCAGAAGCTCGTTGGAAAAATCCCAGTCCATCTTTTCTATCTTTCAATTAAATATCTCCTCTCACTACTCATTCACGCAGCAGATCTGATTGACATGAATGGAAAACCCTTGGCCCACACAGTATTCTTACATCTGGATATATTTATAAGCTGCAGCTGTTGGGTAAAAAAAACAACAAAAACACACGTTAAGCTTCAATCTACCTGTGAAAAAGTGAACAGGTTAAACCTACAGTCATGTGACTTGTACTCAACAGCAGCTGCACAGTGCACACTGTAGCCATCACATACATCACAATGAACATTTCAACAATACACCAGCAGTCATAAACCCCACTCCTTTGATGATATGGCAAGCATGAGGTCAAAGGTCATCGGGACTCCTCTGTGCAGTAATGTTTGGTACCATGACAAAAGAAACACTGGATTTGTATAAAAAAGCATGAGAATGGATGTTATGGAGCTGAAAACGTACAATATATACACAATATCAACATGCAATAGTCATGAGTAGAGTATGAACGTGTTACATGTTACTATTAAATCCTATTTAGATGTCAGGCCCTGATTTTTTTTGATTTGGTTCTGCAGAAATGTGTCCTTGAAAAAGACAACATGTACGTATGTGTTATCACTGCTGAATCAGTCCTGCATCGAAGAAGGTTACAGTAAAGATTATAAAAAACAGGAAGAAGATCAAAATCGAAGTCTCTCTTACCATGAGTCTCAGTTTCTTGGTGAGGGAATACAATGCCTTCAGTTTCAAATAGGGGCTGCAGGAAGGCCACTACAGAGAGAGGAAGCACAGGGGTGGGGAGTGTGTGGCGTAAACTAATCACACAGAGACACAACCATTATCATGATCTCTTAGCAGCAGTTTGACTTCTATAAATTTAAAGCTGGAGCCTGAGTGCAGATTAAAAGAAAAGTACAAAACATGTTCTCAGTTAGTGATACAGCTTCTGCTTATCTATATACACTTGAAAGTGAATAGAACCTGCTTCTGCATCTTATTGGTTCAATAAAATACTAATTTAGGCTGAAACTCATTAATTCAACTTATAATAGAGATATCATCAAGACTGAATCGTTCAACCATAAAACAAAACATTATAAAAAAAGTTGTCAGTGCAAAGATTTTAAACAAAAACTTGCAACCAAGCTGATTCCTCTCTTGTTTTGCTTGAGGGGCAGTAGGGAGTGTGTGTGTGTATGTGTGTGTGTGTGTGTGTGTGTGTGTGTGTGTGTGTGTGTGTGTGTGTGTCAATTTTAAACCAAATGTCATGCGATCATCAGCCTGATGCTTCTGGCTGAGGGACTGTTGACCTGGTGGCAGCGCGGCCATCCTCTGTCTGAGTAAAAGCCAGCTCAACCACGCTCCTCCTCCTCCTCCTCCTCCTCCTCCTCCTCCCAACCTTTTCATTTGTCTAAATGGACGAGTGGCCTGATGGTTACACAGGCAGGGGCCCATATTTTTATTTTTTTGTACGTTCAGTAGTGAGCAGGAGCCTTTAGTGATCCGAGCACTGCAGCGATGTAGTTAAACTATGCTGGCAAACCTGTCTCCGTCTAATTTTTACACTCGAGGACGTCTGTCGAGTTTCCTGTCGGGGGCTGAAGAAACTGTTAAAACTGACTGTCCCATTCTTTACCGTCACAGCTGTGAGTGGTCACCACAATAAAACAGATATTTACATAAAAATAAAAACGTTTTGATTCTCAATGATAACTTTAAACATTTCTGTTTTACAGCTTTGAGAGGAATGTGACCATCTCACTTTGAACAGACTAATATATCAGAGCAAAAATGACATTGTGTTCATATCAGATCCAGTCATGCTGATGATGGAGGCTCCTCTCATCAAACCTGCACTGAAATCAGTATTATCAATCAATAATTGTATTTACATATTTGAATCCCTAAACTAGATTATTATTTTTTTAATTATCAGAACTGACCCTAAATGTCACCAATAATTGCTCTCTTAACTTTCAACTACAACGAAATGCATTTCGTCAACTTGTGTCAGTTCAAAAGTCTCATTAAGGTCTAAAAAGAGTTTGTAATGACGTTGAGTCCCCTACAGATACAAAATGTTGGTATGGTTGATTAACTAAGATCTGTTTTATTTTCTCAAAATACTGGGGTTCCCTCTCTGCCACTTCATACTTAAATATGTTTCTGTCTTGCTAATGACATATTTTTTGACAGTCAGATTTAACAGTCTGCACTAAAAGTTTGGATTGACCATATTCTAAATACTAAAGCAGTCAAATAATTATCCGCATCTTAATTGCGAAACTGCTACATCATATCTCCACTGAATGCACGCGTGTTACACATGTACAGGTGTGTTGTATGTCCAAATGTCTTTGATGGGGTGCATGGCCAGGATAGGCTCCTGATGGGTGATGGGAATGCTTGGCGCATGACAGCATGTAAACAAAAACCAAATATGGTGATTGCCATGGAGACATATCCATATTTCATCCATAACCGGAGGATGATGAAGAAACATGATTGGACAATTTAGAGGAATAAGAATAATCATCTTTCTCTTGTATCTGCAAAGCATGAAAGTAAATACACAAGGCACTGACATTTACTGCAATAATAACACAACAGAGGCACTGTCGCATTAATGTGAGCTGCTCTGGATCCCCCCTTGTTCTCTCCGGCTCGCCACAGGCCTGCTGTTAAAACGCTACCGCTTGTTTATCCGTCCGTGTCGGCTAATTGTACACAAAGCGGCGATGGTGGCTGATGTGTGAGATTATCACAAGGTCATCCGTCGGCGGAATGGGAGCCTGCGATCACGCAACAGCCAGATCTGCCTCTTTCACTTGTTTACATCCTCACTGTGGCTCCAGCATGGCCGCTGTGCCTGCGCGTAAAATCTCATAAGACGCATTTTGGAGTAAAAAAGGGAAAACGGCACATTCTGCTGATGGTAAAGCGGCAGGATGTGCGCAAAAGGAACCGGCGCTTCCCTCCAAATCCCCCCTCATTGTTTTCTCTCCTTCAAAAGCGGAGGCCTGTGTTTATTTCCACGCACGATGGAAAAAATCTATCTCACATTAGATTACAAAATATCGCGCTAATCTGTGTTTCTCTGTTATTATCGGGATACAGATCTGTGCGCATGTGGGGGAAAGGGGCCACCGCGTCAGATCAACCTGCCTCCAGAGCAACATTCACCCTAAACCCCGAACATCAGCTCCCCGCATCCCCATCGCTGCAGCTCTTACCTCCCGTGTTTGTGCGCTTGGTGCTGCTGGCCTCCGTGGGAGTCTCCAGGGGTCTTTTGCGCGAGTCCGGAGGGTCGGACTCCATGTGTGGCTGCTGATTGTGATGGAGAGGATTTGAGAAAATCCCGTTTTGCTGTACTGCTCCGCCGGCCATCATTTTCGAGCTTGGTCTTGGATGCTTGGTCTGCGTGTGCGTTTAAATCCCCCCTTTTCCGTGGCGTTTTTTGTACGCAGCGTAGCCGTGCAGTGCAGATGAGTCCTTGGAGGAGGCGAAAGCGATTTAGGGAATTGGAAAAATACGCCTGTTTCCTGACGGAGGAGGTTACTGCGCGTTTCTCCGCGATGCGCCGTGCGTACAGAGAGATGCTGCGCAGGGACAGAAAGCGGCGGATGATCGACTCAAAGTGGGAGGAAAAAAATTCCGAACCCCGTGCAGCTGGAGAATCTTCTGGGCAAATAAAAAACGTGCAAAAGAAGCGTCAATCTTCCATCAAGCTTCGGATATGCGTGGTTAGGATATGCGTGTCATTCCGCTGCAGCCGGATAAAAGAGCGTACTCATGTCAGGCGGTGGAGGATGGTGGCGCTCCTCTGCAACAGCAGCGAAACGGAACAATAAATAAAACAAAACTCAATCACAAAGAGACGAAAGGACGAAGAAAGACGGGAAAAGGTCGATGAAGGAATCAGAGGAGCCTAGAAAAAAAAGAAAGGAATCCGATGCGTAATTTGGCAGGCTTGGTAATTTCTGTCTTGTCCGGGGTGCGATCGTGGAGACACCCGGGGGTGACGGGGGTTGGGTGAGGAGGGTCCGGAGACGCAGAGAAAGAGACGGGTTTATCCTGCTCGTCCTCTCGGTGAAGATGCTGCAGTCTTCTCGGTCAGAGCATCACTTCTCTCACTGGCTGCTGGAGGGAGCGGCTGACGTCACAGGGCCGCACGGTGCCTTCACGGGACGCGCGTAACACTCGGGTTTCCCACGTGTCTAAGTAAAAGTGCGACTCGAAAGCCCTGCGTGTGCGTTATAGTGCAAATAAGACAACACACTAGGGCTTGCATAGGGCGATGTGGCCAAAATTTGTATCGTGATGTTTATATAATTAATAATGACCTCAATAGATGTCAGATTATTGCTTATCTTAACAAAAATCAGATGAAGATCAAGTATGTGCTTCACCTCCTCACTGTGCACAACGCAAAGGCATTTTATTGGCATATTGCTAATATATCTATTTATATAGCACTAGAATATACAAATAGAATAACAAATCCAAAGTTTGAGCAAGACCAACCATCATAATAATAAAAAACAGACTAAGGTAAAATCAGGGAATAAGGTTTTAAGATTTGATTCAAAGGAGCTCGTGTTTCAAAAGCTCTGCACCCATACAGTCTTAAGCCCGGTTTTCGCCCGGCACAATTATAAAAGCTGCTCTTGTGAATGTTTGCACTAAATTAAGCAACATTTCTGATCAGTGGGTGAAGAAAAAAATTTCCAGAATCAGAGTCTGAAATATTTTATTTATCCCCTGTGGGGGATGAGTTTCTTTACAGTCATCCCAGCCAAGAAGAGAAAGAGAAAGAGACCAAGACAATAACAATAAATAGAAATACAAATGAAAAGGTTGTGAAAATGCACAATACAATATAGAAGCCAAATTAGAATATGTAAATATACAGTATAGTATATAAAGCAAACAGCAAGTTAAAGCTAAATAAAAGCTCTCAACATCAAGTGGAAGTCGAGCTCCAGTAATAGACTGATTATCACAATATTCATCGATAGCGATATAATGAAACTTCAATACATTTATTGGATATAAGTACATGTGTAAGCACAGTGACAAAGTATAACGCATAATTGCTTGAGTAATTAAGTAATTATACAATATAGATTGAATATTTAATCTTGATATCATTTTTAGACATCCAAATAAATTTAGCATGGCACTCAGTAAAGTGATTCGTCTACCAAGGCCCAACAGTCCCCTCCAATTCAATCAACTTGCAAATGAACGCATGTATCAGTTCCCTAAATGTTATTCTTCCCATCAACATCCACACGTTATTCCCTGGGAAATTGGTGAATAACCCATCTTGCAAGACAAATTCCTGCTCCGACACCAAAAATGACAGAGTTCTTCCCCGACACAAACCACATCGTTCCACCACGTTTCGTACAATCCACTCTTCTATCTCGCTAACAAACTCACAAACGGACAGAGGTGAAAACAAAACCTCTCCGGTGACAAATAGACCAACATCATCAGACTGATGTTTCATAACATGAGATAAATCCTGGCTTCCTTCTTAGCCTGTAGGGGTCACTCACATGAGCACCAGCTTAAGCTTCTCAATTCCCACGACCCGTGAAGGCGTCGTGAGAGAGAAAGCCAGAGAACCAGAGGGAGGTAGAGAGAGAGAGGGAGAGAGAGAGAGAGAGGCTATTGGCCGAAGACTGAACGAACAGGACTCGGGTATATTCGCCGGTGGAGTCACATGATGGAGAGGAGAAAGGATGCGGGACTTTACTCCGTTACTGTCGCGGCAAATGCAATTATGTCTGAAGGGGAACCTGAAGGTCCCGCTGCTGCTGTGTGGAGGTCTGGAGCCTGCGTCTGTCTGCAGACCTGAGGGCCTCAAACACACCTGGAGCTCACCTGCACTTCACATTTCCACATTAACGAGCAGCCAGTGAACTGAGCTGGTGAGAGTTCAAGGAGGATGTTTTTCTCATTAAAGCCATTTTTACATTTCCAATTAAATCGTTTATTTGTGGTTGTGTGCCTCGTTGTGAACTCCTAAGGTTCAGATTCCACAGATTTGTTTCCAGAGCACCTGACAGACCGCGATGACCCAGAGGCCGCACTCCAGGCCCCTACCTCTCAAGCTGCACTAAAAACAATAAATGTTTAGATGATGAGCACGAGGTCATTATAAACACTGAAACTAAAACGGAGGAAGCATGAAACCTGAGCGCCCGTCCTGCCTCACCTGTCCCCTCAGCTGCTGCGTGACCCACCTGTGTGTGCTGCGCCTGACATCTCTGCGTCGCTCTGCCTGGATCTGAAGAGGGATCCTCCACCACTGTGCTGTCTGAGAGAGCTGTACCCGCCTCAGCCTTCCCTCTCCCTCTCTCTCTCTCACACACACACACACATACACTCACACATTTGGCATATTCTCTCACACACACTCCGAGAGACACACACACACACACACACACACACAAATACCTTCTACTCCCTCTCTCCTCCTCTGTCCAGTGGCGTACAGATGCAGTGCGCCCTCGGTGCCTCTTGTAGATTGTAGTCAAGGTGACATTGTGCAGCCTGTGTACGCGCACACACACAGTCGCAGCTATCTCACACTATTTCACATCGCCATGAGAAACGCACCGATGAGCCAGGCTCCCCGCTCTGGAAATACGTGGCAAATCTGAGGCAGATGGATTCGGAGCTGCAGTGTGAAGCTGATTCTGCAGCACAAGCAGCAGCAGCAGCCGCCGCTCAGAGAGGTGGAAGGCCTGCACACCGCCACCTCAGCACGAGCTACAGAGAGGAGAGGAGAGGCTGCACAGTTGGTGATGGATGCACATGCTTTCGTACATTTGGAGCAGGAACAGAAATCGGCTGGAGGAAGAACTGTGAGGGTCTCACACAGCCAGAGTGTCCACACTGCAGCAGCAGCAGCATATGGAAAAAGTGAAGTCGTCCCATATGCAGTAAAACACACGGGCTAGCAGCATTCTTTGCGTTTTATTAGGCTGGGCCTATGAGCAGATGTTAGTGAAATGGTTTTAAGAGATTTGGTTCCGCAAACTCCTGTTCGGCTTTGGACGCTGACCCCAAACTCCTACAGCAGCTTTCAATTGCCACAAGTTATTCTGGACCTGGAGACAAGCACTGGTCACAGTAACAACTCAGTTTTTCCCCACTATGTAATAAGTGCAAACGCTCGGCCAACAGTGAATGTTATTCAGAGCGCCACAGTGGTTCAGGAGGAGATTTTTCCAGTGATGGATTTTTTCGTTTTTCAAACTGATTGTGGAATACTCAGTTCTGTGATGAGAAATGTTTGGTCATGAGACAAAAAAAAAAAAAAAAAAAAAAAAAACTGAAAGAAGAAGAGCTGAGATGTGAGCCAGCTGGAGCCTCAAGTCTCAAAACTCAGAGAGAATAAAAAAGGTTCTTAGATTTGACCTGGAGCAAAAATGAGATAGGGAGATACATTTCCATGTGAACATTCCCATCCTGTTTCGATTCTGTCCGACTCTAAGGATTCAAATGAGGAGTGTCGTGAGTTTTCTCTGAGAACACAGTCGTCCTCAGTAGGCGAGAGCCGCTCACACTTCTTCTCCCTGCGGAGTTCAACATTGCATGAGCAGGATTCAGTGTGTTTTTGACACTGGGTCAAACCCGACTGCAGCTAAATGGATTTCCAGGTAAAATCCGCTGTGCTGCTCACAAATGTTGGGTCTCTGCTGTCACCTGCTGCTAATCTGTGGAACAGCAGCACATAGTCTTAAACCCGGTTTTGGTTTTACAGTTTTCATCCTCTCTTGGATTTAACCTTTATCTTCTTTATGTATATTTCTGGTCCTTTTCATATTTAAAAGTCCAAATATGACATTGACTGGTGTAATTTTATTTGCACTTGCACTTGCACTTGCAACTCTGAAGTTTCTGGTTTTAAGCCCTATGAGACAAATTGTGATTTGTGGAGCTACACAAATACAATTGTATTGTTTGAATATTTCCTAAATAATAGTAAATACTGGATCATCACTGATAAACTGCTTATGGGATATAGCTACAATTTGTTTACAGATGTCCATGAAACAGTTTGTGTTAAAGGTTAATCTCATTTATGGGATTGGAATAACTAAGAGGTAACTCTTCAGGGTCAGTGTAGATTGCAGGAGGAGCAACTACAGCAACCAACTAGACTCAAGACCCAATACTTTCCTTAAATCCAATCAAGCTGCACCAAATCACACAAACGGATCGTTATAATATGCCTGATTTTTTTTGTTAATTATTCCCTGCAAGTGAAATCGATGAAAATATATAATTTTTAAAACAAATCCTATCCCGCAATGTTAAAGCCAATGATAGAAACATTTCAAACATGGGTTTTCTTTTGGCTCATGTCCCATTGGGGAGGCAGTAGCTCAGTCCATAGCGACTTGGCTTGGGAATCGGAGGGTGGCTGGTTCAAGTCCAGCATGGACGGAAGTTGGAGAGGTGCCAGTTCACCTCCTGGGCACTGCCGAGGTGCCCTTGAGCAAGGCACCAAACCCCCCAATTGCTCCCTGGGTGCCTTCATGGCTGCCCACTGTTCCGTCTGTGGTCACTGTGGATTGTGCTCCACTCACATAGTTAAATACAGAGGTCAAACTTCCCCATGTTTGCATGCTGTGTGTGGGACCATAAAGAGGAATCTTAATCATTCCACCTAGTTTACTGTTGTCCTGGGAATATACATGTAAACCAATGGACAGGGGTGAAAGCGGAGGTAAGTGGAGTATTGTTTTAGGACAGACTTGAAAAAAGTAAACATTACTTTTTAGTTTGGTAAGCTTGAACAGCTTGTACTCTTACCTAATGTTTACAGTTACTGTCAACTTGACAAATGCCCTGTTTAGTGATAATTCTTTGCAAAGTAAGAGCCAATAATATATTTCTGTTTAAAAAAATCCTTCATCAGCTCCGACCATGTTGCCTCACAACAGCTTTCAGGTTTACAAATCTTAATGCAAGAAAGTGTCCAGTGTTTTGTCAACAGCATCTGCTCACTGTTGTATAATCGTCCTCCGACCCAGCACTTGTGCAGCTCTACTCTGCAGATCA